CCCCCCCCCAAGTAACCCCCCCCCCCCCCCCCCCTCCCCTGAAGCAGCAGCACGGCTATCTTCTCTGTGACGCTAAATGTCTCTTGCTGAAAAACATCGAGATGATGGTAGTCAGTCGCCTGGATGCCTCTCTTTTCGCATCTCCGGAAAATGAGAGGTCCAACTCAAATCTGCCTCTTAGAATGTAGGCGCAGGAAGCCATGAAGATGAATCAGGAATCTCGTTCCCCTTCCTCAATCTCCCGCCTCTGTCAGGCTAATTAGTTTTAGTCAAGGGCAATCGATGGGGATCGAGACAGGACAATTGGGCCAAGCTCCTCCTCTCACACCAAAGGGAAGATTTTCCACCAAGACCCCATCTCTTTCTTGTTATCTGCAAGAAGTCTATGTGACATGTGTCAAACGTGACTCGACCTCGAGCCCTACTTTTCCAGGAAATCCTTTTGATGTGCCTGGTCCTACAGTATACAACTGGTCGATAACAAAAATAAATCCAGGGGATTGACTTATTGATTTTTCAAATGAACATGAAAGTGAGTTTCAGAAAAATCACATTCCTGTGGCGGTAATGCACTTTGAACGAATATAAGCAGGCCTAGCTCGAGTTCGTTCTGAAAATTGTGACAGTCTTGAAAATCCAGTAGTGTCAGCAAAAGTAACTTCGTTCACGCTTTAAAAGAGTGGTTCTCAACCTTTTCTTAACGATAGAACACTTTTCTAGCTGGGAGATTTGGCGGCACCCCTGCAAATCCACAGACCACTTTCCACGGTAATATAAGCCCATTTAAAAATGAGGAATACCAGGACCTCCAAATTCATTCAGGAAATATTTTATTTTGTTCTGTCACTTAGCATCATTTTTAATCATTTCCAGAATAATAATTAAAACTCCTTATTTTCGTTCAAATGTCCACCCTATTACATGCTTTCTATCTCTCCCATCTCTGGAATTTCGTTGAGGTTAGCAGCGTCAACTCAGGACTTTTTTTTTTGCATACGTAAGAGGAACACTTTGTCAATGAGAATACTCTTCACCAAGAGTTCCCCTTACGTTTGCAAGAATTCTCTTTAAACGTACCGTCATTTCTCATATCCACCTAACTGAATTTCAGTTTCAAAATTTTTCGAAGACGAGTTATAAGTAATTCTCACCACTTCAAATGAAAATTTAACTTTAAAACATACGACGAAAATTTCACTGCCTATATATTCCCTCTACCGTATGGGAGTGGCTAGATCCAATTACCCATATCATTCATCCTTAACCTTCCTGCACGCTCATAGGAAGTTCCAAGGTCATCCGTGATGGGGGAGGTTTGAGCAACAATAAAAAACCAATTCATCAATCATTACTTTTCTTTTCAAGGCCAATCCTGAGTTATGATGAGAATTCTATCTTCCTTGTTCTCTAGCTTCCTTCTCAAAATGATAATTTTTTGTAGTCTGAAGAGGGTCTAATGGCCGGAACAGTTCATTTTCTTTCTTACTCCTAGGCTGCTTCGTTCACAGCTTTCATTGTATATGATAAAGATTGGCTTGCGTTAGAAGTTCTTTGAACAAAGTTTAAAGCATGAATTGTTATCGAACGTTGCAATTTCAGACTTGGTCTCAAACTTTAGCTCTTCCCTCGGAACTTGGAATTTCCTTTGGTTTTTTCTTTCCATGTTTGTCGTGTTGAGACAGGACAGGCTATCAGTGACGACGATTCCTCTCTCTTTTCTCCGTCTCTGTAAACGGGTAGATTAAGGGTTGAATTGTAGCGGAGAATTGCGTTCCATTCCCCAAAGATCTATCTCGGGCTTTTAATTTTCTCCTTCGCTGGACGGATAGCCCCCTCGGCCCCTCTCCCTTCCTTTTCCGCTCCTTCTTCCTCTTTTCTTCGACGAGGCCTTCATCCCATGGTCGCACTGAATCCTGCTGGTCACTTCATCCTCATGCCCATGCGAGGGACAAAGGAGAAGGAAGGATAAAAATGAAAGAGGATTTTGGGAATACCCTTGAATACCCTTGCATTACAGATCACGCAGCTGGATGGACAAGAATAGTAGACTGATAGATTCCCGAGGATCCATGCAATAATGAAGGAAAAAGAACGATGGCTTTTGGATATTCTGGACGTAAGAGTTGGGAAAATGGAGATCATCTTCATTGATCCATTCCAATGCAAGGCAGGCTCAGGCCTAACCTCGTCTTCCCTTCAAAAAGAAGGAAAAGAAGATGGAAAAGAATGAGCGATTCCTGTCATGTCCCCGAATGCGACCAGAATTATCGGGATGGAGGAAGATGAAAGGCAGGGCAAGGGAGATACTGATGGCAGGGGGAAAAAGGTGGATCTATACAGGGATGGTCGATGTGCCTTCTGCTTCTTTCAAAATTGATCCCCTCCATGGGGATTTCAACACATGCATGCTGTTTGACCTTATTTGGCAAGGGGTGGGACGAAGGAGGCGCACGTTGGGAGCAAGTTCCTGCCTTTCTTCCCTAGTCTACTTCTGATGTCATGGAAAGAATAGGTCCATGCATGCATGATTTAAGGCGGTCGTTCGAAGGTCGATGGGACAAAGAAAGAAAACCAGACGATGAAGATTTCGATATATCGACTGATCCATCATGTCTCTCACTCCACGCCCATGTACTAATAGCATGAGTGAGAGAGGGAGAGGCAATCTCGTGATTGATAATGATAACCTAAATTGAGACATCCATCAACCGAACGTCCGGTCTCCAATGTCCCCCGTGCATCATCGTTGTATTAGTGGAACTGCGGAGTTAATGTCCAGTCCACTGATGATGATAGTCGGCGAAATACACGGGACATGGAGAGTAAAGGAGAGGATAGGTATAGTAGAGAATTCCTGAGAATTCCTCAAGAAAAGGCAATGTGGAGGGATCAAGGTTGCGGTCCGAAAGAAGGGCGACCGTTCAATATGCTTCCTGTTCTGTAAGAGTTTTTGGATTTCACATATTTATTATGATAAAATTGTTATTGGGTGATATGTTTAAATATCTATTTGAACATATCACCCAATAGAGTAAAGTTTGTTAGTTTTAAATTTACGCTGGAACTTGAAGCAGCGGCATTCGAAAATTTTACGAAAGTCCCACACTTACTAATGCACAGACGCCTGGCGATTCCCGCAGAGCCTCGTTCATTTTCAATAACAAGAGGCTCGCTTAGAAATAGAAATAAAAGTTGCAGGATGAGAAGAAGGAAAAGCTTGACAGGAGACCATAGACGAGAGAGAGAACACGAAAAAAGAAGAAAGCGAGCCTAGGAGAAAGTGAGTGATAAAGGCCTCCAATTTGACTGACTCGGCGCCGATTAGTGTCGGCGTGGAAGACAACCATTCAAGCTCCTTCCACTGTATATTGGATCCACTGAAGAGAAAGGGAAGGGAGGTTCATCACAGAGGGTTTCGCAAGAGGGGACAGCCTTTATTCCCCCCCCCTTACCTCCTCCTTTCTTTCTTCTCTGTGTGGTGTGAGATCGGGGAGAAGAAAGCTGATCATGAAGGAAGGCAATCTGGAGAGTCTCGTCGTAAAAGAGACTCACGAATTATATGACATCCCGACATGGAACATTAACGACCTGTCTCCGCCTGCGACTACACGATAATACTCAATCCATGACCGTATACGTATACAGGCCCGTCACCCAGACGTGGGTGGGAAAAAATGTTCAATTTCCGAAAACCATTCAAGCGCAAGATTCAGTATCCACCCGAATATCCGTTCCACACCATCCTTATCACTCCTCGCCCTTCGGGTCCTGGCTCCTGGCTCTGTCAGGCTTGAAGGGTTGCGCATAGGGTCAATGTTTGAAGGGAGCCGAGCTTTTCTTCCCTCCCCCAAAAATCATTAATAATAAGATTCCAGATGGAGGGTTGCTATGCGCGCAGTCTCGTACCACTCCTCCTTTGACATACCATTAAATAGACGTCTCCAAGATCAATATTTTTTGGAATGCATTCCCGATTATTACACTGCAATGTGAAGGAGATGTACCGTTAGAACGGTTACTCCTGTTTCTTGAATTCGGAGCTTCTTACACATGTACTTGAAACAATGCCTGCGACATGCTGCCGCTACTACAACAGTGAACAGGAGTGCCTCATGGCGATGAAAGTTCATCCTTTTTCGTCGGACACTGCTTCTTGAAGAGAATTATGCAATTTACGAATTCGTTCTCTCTGCCTGCATGTGAGGAAATGTGCTTCGAGGATCTATTAGAATGGAATAAGCCATCTCTCATCGAGATTGTAGCGAGACAAACCTAATATTTTCAGTTTCTACTGAAAATATTAGGTTCTAAGTTTCGTCCAGTTCCGTTGATATTTAGTAACAGAAATACTGCGCGGCAGCAGCAGCCACCACAGGGCAACAAGTAGCAAAATTTTGGAAAAGTGATTCTTCCCAAGGCTGAACACAGACCTTTTCCATATTTGCACCATCACTTCTGCAACTGAAAGGCTTATCAGGCGATGCTTACCTAAATAAATTGTTTAGTGAATTGAAGATAAGTCCCTCCACGTGCCATTGTGTTCAAATGTTACCGTCTATGCAGGTGGGAAACATGACTTTGAAGACGAACACCGATCTAGGCGCCCTCTGGCACCAGTAACAGAAGCAAACATTGACTTGGTGCACTCGCTGATGAGGACCTTCTTTAATGAGGATCTTCTTTGATGAGGATCTTGTTTGATAGGGATCTCCTTTGATCAGCGAGCGCACTGAATCAATGTTTGCTTCTGGTACTGGTGCCAGAGGGCGTCCAGATCGAAGCTTGTTTCCAAATCTTTTCCCCTCACTTGAATAACAGTTGGTAACAGTTGAACATACCCAGGAATTAGCTTTCTGCCGGATCTGGCAATCCTGCTAGTCTGCAATCAGCAGTCTGCAGCAATGCGAGACGCAGAAATCCCATGGGGAACAGATGCAGTCCTGCAAAGTCGTGAGCGTTCCAGGAACAACATCATGGTCATCATGATCTCCACTCTTCACGGCTCCAGCCATAATTGGATTCCTTCCCACCCTTGATATTCGATTGTACGAAGACGAATAGTACCGTTCCCTATTCCTCCCACATTTGACACGAGTTTCCTTTCTCCCACTTATACTGACCATACTTATACTTATACTGACCATAGTCTTGCAAAAGTTTAGTCCCGTTTGGAATCAAGAAAGTTGCAGCAGCTACACATAAACCATACACTTTGATCTTTTGCACTTCATGCTCACATGCAACGACCAAACGCTTCCAACTGATCTGAAAATTTCTCTCTTGTTGTGAAGACTATGCACAGTCGACGCCAAAGGATTACAGTTGGGAGGAGGGGGATGGCGTAATCAAACGGAGATCATGAAATGAATCAAGCTGGATTCACCATCGTAAACGCAAACATGGGAAATTCCCAGCCTTATTCATTGTCCCCCTCCTTTCCACTGCCAACTTCTGTGGTGTCGATTTCAGTCATCTCTGGCCAAAATGTGCTGACTGCGCCCCGTGAAGTATAAAAAATCGAACAGCCAATATGGAATGCCGTGGCGGCTTGTATCAAATCTATCTGCGGAGAAGTGAATTATGGCCACTTGAATGCGTCAGTGGGTATGCGGGGAAATGCGTGTGGAAAAAAGTGATATCCTATCACTCCTCCTCCCTATGTCTTCCCTATTTATTTGCTTTCTTTTGCTGGTTTCTTTGGTGTAGCTCTCTTGGGATTTGGATGTTGTCCGGTCCTAAGCAGGAACAAAAAATATATCTGGCCCTGGTGAACGATAACCTTTGAGCTGAGAACTGAAAAGAAAGAAAGGGAGAAAGAAAGCAGGACAGGGGAGAGAAAAGGAATGCAATTTTCTCCCAGAGGAATCTGATCCAAACCCCATATCCTATTCCATGCCTTCCCCTTTTCCTCCCCATTCCCTTCATTCGGTCATTCCCTGTTCATACAGTGGATGGACAGTCGTGCACTGGTCCTTGGAGGAGGGAGTCACTTAAGCAAGCATCAGACGAGCAGAACCATTAATGGCCCTTCTCTTCTTTCCCTCTCTTTCTCTTCCCCCCCCCCCCCCCCCCCCCCCCCCCCC